GCTCACCTCACTCTCCCAGGCGAGGCCCCCCAAGCCCACCTTGTCGCACATGCGCACAAAGCTCACTGGGACTCCATGCCCCGGCAAGCTTTGCGCCAAACTCACCCGTGCCCCCTCCCCCCGCCCTGCCCTGGGAGTCGCGCTTTCTGCCCGACAACTCCCCTCCCAGCCCCCGGCCTTGTCCAGAACTACATTTCCCAGAAAGCATCGCAGCAAAGGGGGCTTCCCATTGGCCCTCACTGGGCAACCCGCGCAAGGCCTTTAGACCCACACGGCGTCTCCACCAGCACCAAAACTACATTTTCCGCGATGCGCCGAAGAGGAGTCAGCGCCCACTTGGCCCTCGCCGGTGCAGGAGGCGCGACTTTGCAGAGCGCAGCCCGCTTCGGACTACATTTCCCATAATGCACACAGCCTTCCCTGGGGTCTGCGGGAGGGCCTCGGGTACGCGCAGACGGCTGGGAGGGGAGTCGCAGAGGAAAAGAGGCTCTGTGGCGGCGTGGTCGTAGGGCTGGAGGAGCTAGGCAGTGCCCAGTATGGGAAGGCTGAGCCTCCGGGACTGGAAAAGCCGGCAAGCAAGGAAGAGGAAGAGGAGAGTGGCCTGGGCTCTCCGCCACTTAGGAGTGTGGGATGCGTCTCCTTGGCAACGGGTCGCGGTTTCTGTCCGCCCTGCGGACTGAGGCAGAACCAGAAGCGGACCGAGGGTGGCGCGGTGACCTGGACGCGAACAGGCGGCCGCGCTGTCAGGGGCGAGCTGCGGTTCAGGAGGCGCGGCCTCGGTGAACGCGGATCGCACACCGCCTGTCTCTGGCCTCGATTTCCGGTCCTGTGAATTGGCGGGGACAGCACCTCTTAAGCGCCCGGGTCGACCGGGCCACTGTCCCATCCCGGGCCTCGGTTTCTCCATCTCGGAAATAGGAGGCAATCCCGACCTGATTCTGGCTCCTACAAACCAAATGTGCCTGGGCTAGTCCCCCTACCCACGCTGACTGCAAGCTTCCTTCTCCTCCTGCCGGACTGGTCTGCAGATTCAGCGGTCGGCACGTAACAAGCGCTCATTAAACGCTAGTTCTTACCAAATTCACGGATAGACAGTAACTTTCCCCCAGGTTTCACAGGCGATCAGTGGCAGATTCCGAACTTCCTAACCAATCTCTCCCTGTGGCGGCCTCACCTGCCCTGGCCCACCTTTCTGCCCCCTCCCTCCCCCTTGCTTATGGTCTTCCAGTCACACTGGCCTCTGCTGCTGCTAGAACTTGCTGACCTTATTCTCACTCATGTCCGACGCCTGACATGGGCGAGAGCTCATCTTCAGAATATAGTCATCTCCAGCCTAAGGTGTGCAGCAGAGAATTTGCACCCCTCTCCCACCCACCCTGCAAGGAAACTCGGTTCTTCCCACTGCTCTGCCATCCTAGAGAACCTACCATTCACCCGAATGTTAAGGCCTCCAGTGGAAAACTGCCCCTTGATTCTCGGTTTTCATCACTCCTTACATACAGACTATCAGCAGATCCTGTTGGTTTCGCCTTTAAAACAGTTCGAATTTGTCCCCTGTTGCTGCCGCCAGGTCTAAGTCCCCATGACCTCTCTGGACATTGTCCTGCTTCTACTGTGGCCTCCTTCCTCTGCCACTTAGTCCGTGCTCCACACAGCTATCAAGAGGATCTTATTTTTATTTTGTGTTAAAATACATATAACATGGAATTAACCATTTTAACTGTTTTTAAGGTTTTAAAGTGTACAGTTCCATAGCATTAAGTACATGCACTGTATTGTGTAACCATCACCACCATCTCCAGAACTCTTTGTCTTCCCAAACAGAAATTTTGTACCCATTAAACAGAAACTCCCCATTTCTTCTTCACCAGAGCCTCTGGTAACCACCATTCTATTATCTGTTTCCACGATTTATAACTAAATACCTCAAATGAGTGGAGTCATACAGTATTTATCCTTCTGGGACTGGCTTATTTCACTTGGCATAATGTTCTCACGTTTCATCCACGTAGTAGCGTGTGTCAGACTTTCCTTCCTTTCCAAGACTGGATAGTGTTCCGGGGTAGGTATAGACCACATTTTGTTTATCTACTTGCCCCTGGCCTGTGCAGGCCCATGTACTCTGCCTTCAGACCCAGAGTCCCCTCTACTGTATTCAGTCCTTTGTGTATATTAGGAAAGGGCACCGTTCAGAAGCCCTATAGACCTGTGCCAGGGCATGGAGCTTGGCTAGCTGAAGGGGAGGTATATTTCAGCCCCCACTTCCTGTTTGACTAGGGGCCCCAGGGTTCATGGAGTGCACAGGGTTCACACTGGCCTTCCCTTGGCACCACTTTCCCTCCTGGTCACTGTGCTGCAACGCCTTGGGTTAGCCACCTCCACGTTCTTCTAATACAGTGGTTCTCATGGTTCTTAAGGTCCAGCACCAGCTGGGAGCTTGTGAGAAATGCAAATTATCAGCCCCATTGAGTCTAAAATCCTGGTGGTGGGCCCAGCCTTTTTTTTTTTTTTTTTTT